GCTTCAGAATTATACTGATTAAGGTTTAGTGTTTAGGGATTAGGGTTATCTACCTACCAGGGACCCTTGGGGTTCCATGTTAGTTCGGGGGATGGTGTGAACACAAGGAAGTGTGCGCAACTCGCATGCTGTTTTATGGCATCCTGTGAACCCTACACCCTGAAACCGACTTGGGGCTTAGGATTTAGGATTTCGAGTTCAGGGTTTAGGGTTTAGGATTCAGGATTTAGGGCTTGGGGCGTGGTACACCAGACGCCAAGATAGTGCATGGATTGATATGAGGGTCCTGCTAGTCAGGAGTAGACAGGTGAACCTTCACGTTCAACAAACAGTAGGTTCAAGCTATTGGTTCCAACTGGTGTGGTTCCCATAACATTAGACTGGGAACCCGTAAGCTCCTCCAACGACCCTAAACCCTGAAGGCCTTAACCCCAAGAGTTGCTTTGCAAAATGAATGCGTGTATAGTCCCCTTAAGTCGATAGAACCATATTCTATCTACTTCGGGGGGACTATATCTTCTGTAAGTCAGGAACCCCAATTCTGCTGGGTATCCCCATAGTGACAGTCATACTCATGACAGTAATACCGACAATAGCCCATACTGAAGCTGACTTAAACCAAGGCCTGGAGGCGCTTAGAATACTATCACTGCACAAGGTCCAGCGCAGTGACCTGTTAATAATAGGGGTACTCTTTTTTCCAACTGGCCAGTTTTTATAAGGGCATTCCAAAATAGAAAGGAAAGTAGGGTCCTAGCACAAAGATCATGACGGAAAATGATTCCATTCAAGTTACGAACCTTAAGCCTTTGGTTTAGAGTTTAGGGCGTAAGGTTTAGGGGTACCCCAAGCCCTTAACGAACCCTAAACCACATTAACATTGAGAAGAGCAGCCGCAATGGGGACTCTCCTGCTGGAAGCACCTGGACGAGTGAGTCGCGTTTTTCTTGCACTATGTAAGATTACATACCGTACCTGACAGGAAGATATGATCTTAGTTGAGATTGGGGGGCTATCACAACAACCCCATCAGAAATACTCCTCAGCTTGGCAGTAGGTATACTCAGGGACCTAAGTATTCTGAACACTACCATTCCTGTTTTGATGTCTTTCTCATGTACTGTGTAGTATCATTGTACAAATAAGCTCCTGCTCCTGTATAACCCCAGCTTCCATGTCAGCTTCCATTCTTTGACCCCTGATTCTGCCTTGTAGGCCCTTAACTTTGGCAGCCCTAATCCACCGGGTCCTGCCCCCACCCACTAACAGTTGGATAATATTTTCACTAGAATTATATAGGGCCATTTATATTACCCTTATTATAGGCTTTTACTGGTTGGGGGCACTACCCAACTAATCCACTTAAATCGCCGGACAAACCCAGAGTCCATTTGGGGCTTTCCCAAAATCAGGTACCCCTTTTTGGGGGTCCCTATAATAAGGATTATTGTATTTTGGGGTCTAGAGGGGGTCCCCCTATTTAGGGAAATTACCATTTGAAGTTCCTTTCTCTTTGCCATTCGACTCTCATTCTTGAGATAATGCTCCTGTATAAACCCTATAGAACTCAGTTGCTTCTCAATCCCGGAACCTAACCCTAAACCAGAAACTTAAACCCCAAACCCAAACCTAAATCTTTGCCAACAGTCCTTGAGCCTCAAATTCATCTTGCCCCACTAACCTGAAACAAAAAACATTTGTGGAAACCGTGAACCCTAAAGCAGTCTCATCTTAGAAGGGGGCTATATGACATATGGAGTGCCATGCAATTACGGGGAGACAACAGCAACCTTAGGACTCATATGAGCTACTGTCTTGACTCCTAGTATCTCCCTTTATAAGCCCTATAGTAGTCCCCTATATAATCCACTATATAACCCCCCTTTAAGGAGTTTAGACTATAGCTCATATGGAAGCAGAGAGCCCCAATGAAAAGGCGATCTTGCCACCTCTGGCGACTCTGAGACTGCAGCACATGAATGGAAACTACTATAGTATATTGGGGTTATATTAGGGTTATATAGGGATTGGGTTTTTAGGGTTTAGGGTTTAGGGTGTATTGGGAATAATGGAAAATGAAATGGAAACTACTATAGTATATTGGGATACTGCTCTAGACAGCTGCCAAACAGGAATGAAGGGCAAAAACTGCCAGCCAAAATGCAAAGAGCCCGTTCCAACAGCCACTCATGCAATGGCATCAAACCCGCAACCCTAAAATGGGTTGCTGCTTAGGAACTTAAACTAAGTTACCATAATGGGTATATATAGTAATTAAAAGCGCTTCCCCAATATAGTAACTTACATTAAGTTCACTTGGCCTAACCCCGATATGTCCCTATATACCCCTATAAATGGGCCCCAATCTACAGCAACTTAAACTAAGTTCCTTCCTTAACATCCCAGTAAACGCTAAACTCGGATGAGAGTTTGTTAAGAGATCCCCAGAGTCCATTTGTATTCCCGTTGTACCCCTGGGATTCCTAGGGGTACCTTGTGTGGAGGAACTCCTGAAGCCAAACTCCAATACATGCGCATACATATATTAATATAGCTGTACATATGTAAAAATTCCAAAAGATTCTACATAGCTCCCAGTCCTTGCGCCCTAAAACGGAAAGCCGACAAACCAAAAACAAGGCGCGTCGAGCTTCCAGGCATATGCAGTCCCGTCCCCAGAGCTTCAACCACATCTTGAGAAGCCTGGCAGGAATATGTGAGCTTCAATCGAAACTCCTAGCATCCCCCTTAATAAGCCCTATAGTAGTCCTCTATATAATCCCCTATATAACCCCCTTTAAGGAGTTTAGACTATGGCTCATGTGAAATCATGCGTTTAGGGGTTCGGGTTTCAAGGATTGGGTTCTGAGGGTTAAAGGTTAAGGCTCTAGGATGAGGGTGTAGGGTTTTAGGGTTTTAGGGTTTAGGGTTCTAGGGCTTAGGGCTTAGGGTTTAGGGTCTGGGGTTTAGGGTTTTAGGGTTTAGGGTTTAGGGGTTTGGGTCCTTGCTTGGAAGTCTATGGGTGGTTTCGAATTGGACACAAATATCTTACAACCCAAACCCTCAAACCCAAGATCATAGCTTTCAACCATGAAGCTTACCTGGGAAGGCCTAAACCCTAAACCCTAGCCCTTAAACTGTAACCCTAAGTTCTTATGAAGGGGGGGCTTCCAAGCTGAAGTAGGGCCTTTCATGGTCAGGGGAGCATTAGGGTTCAGCATTCAGATTCGGGTTTGGGGTTTACAGTTTAACCCTAATTCTGCAGTCTGAAGCCATGTATAGGGATATACGGAAACTATGTGGGTGCGGGGGCACTTGAGACAAGGCACACAAAAACCCTCAAACGACTTAAGGTCCAAATATCTTTGACAATCCCTACGCGTAAACTGCTGCTTCGTTTGCCTTTGGGCACCAGCCACTTTTGAGGAAGCATGAGCTGAGCTTCTCTCGTGTGTGTGTGGCATCAAATCATGTAGTGATTCTTTAAGTGGGGTCCGAAAGAGGATATAGCAGTCTGAGAAACCTCTGTAGGACCAGTTTGCGCGTAGTGCTTTCTCAACATGGAGAGCCGCAAGGGACCTGGGGAAATATGGGGATTAAAAAAGTTATGGGGCCTCGATTAGTTAAGGATGCTATCGTGACTGTTTTGACCAACTGAGAGTTTTCTGGAAGAGGGATACCCAGTATATAGACCAAAAAGACGATAATCCCAAGTATAGGGGACCCTATTTTCCCTAAACCCTAAACCCTAATTTTGGAAAATCCCCGACTTCCTTTTCCGATGCACGCCGTCAAGGCTCACGTCCTCCCAGGGTTCAGAGCCCGGAGACTTGAAATTGGAGAGCATCCATCTGTAAGGATGCAAGAGGAGACGAAGGGAGCACTCAAAAAGACCCACGGTATAGGAACCAAAAGAAGGTTCTGGTGCCCCGATTAAGGATCCTCAATTCCTAAGCGCTGCACCCTAAATCTTGGACCCTGCCCTAAACCCTAAACCCCCTGAAGTTTGAGGTCTAACGCCTAAGGTTGAAACTTTGACATTCAAGGTTGTAGGCTTGGGCTTGAAAATCCTCGTTGTCTCCGCGCCTGACCGCAAGCTTTTTAAGTGGGACAGGATGCAACATGAGTTCATGGCCCTAAACCCTGGCCTAAACCCTAAACCCTGAAACCTTTGATTTCAGTCTGCGGGCTCAATTTTGGAGTGGCCCCTTTCAACCCGATGATGCTTGCTGCATGGGAGCCTTGAAAGAATGACAAGCCCTGCGTCGCAAGCCTTTGAGATTTGGGAGTTTCCCCATATCAGGGCTACCTATGTATGGATCCCAATTATAAGGGCTATGACATAGTGGGGTCTGTAGGGGGTTCGCCCTGTTTTGGGAAACTACCATTTGCACATAGACTGAACAAACTGTACAAGATCCACACCCGGGTTCTCTACTTGGTCGGCTGTTAGAGCACTCTGCAGGTTAGGTTTAGGGGTTAGGGTTTAGGGTTTAGGGTTTAGGGTTTGGGATATAGGGTCCTTATGAAACTAATGAGGGGAAATGTTTAAATCTCCCAAAAGACCAACCTAGTCTAGGTTGAAGGACGGGTTTCGGGTCTGCTTATGGCTTATTCATTCTACTTGGGGGGGAAACTGGTAGGCAGCAATACCACCCCTGATTTCCATATTCTCTTTATGTAGCCCGATATTCTATATTTCATTTATATTACCCATATGAGCGGGGGTCAAAATTCTTATCCGGTTCTTTGACGGTAAGGAATTTGCTTACGGT